AATAATGTAGAATCTGCAAAACACCACATAATGTGGATGAACTTGGAGGACATTATGCTGAGTGAAATAAGTCACTCACAAAAGGACAAATATTGTATTAGTCCATTATTGTAAATGTCAAGGAAAGGTTTATCTATGGAAGGAAATTTCCTTTGTTGGTTACCAGGGGTGGGAGGGAAGGGTAGGGAACACTGTTATATAGGTAAAGATAAGTATTGATTTGGGTGAAGAGAAGGGCAATGTACTAAATGTGAGTGATCAATATGGTGGCATTGAGGGAGAGAAAGACATAGACAGGTACATGGGAGATACAGACAAGAAAGATGAACCCTTTTGTACATACAGTACTGCATTGTCATTGAAGGCAAACATGGTATGGGTGGATAGATGGGTGGACAGGCTGAACTAGTAGGTATATCTATGAAGTGGGGAATGTACCCAAGACCATGTATAGGGTTGGCAGACAATGGTCCTATAAGTTTATTTGTATGATCTGAATTCCCAAGTGTATATTAAAGCTGACAAGGGGCAAGGTTGTAGTCACTTCTTGGTCACAGCCAGTGACCCAGATGGACTGAGTAGTTCAATCTGTGGGCTTGGTACCATAGTTGCAGGGGATATCAAGCTCAACTGGCATAACATATTACACAAAACATTGTTCCACCTCCTACTTTGGCGAGTAGCAACTGAGATCTTAAAAGCTTGCAAGCTGTCATCTAGATGCAACGATGGGTCTCTACTCATCCAGAGCAAAGAAGAACGAAGAAAACCAAACATTCATGGAAACAATTAGTCCTAGCGACTGGTGCACCATGCAATCTGCAGCCTATACGACTATGAGACCAGAAGAACTAGGTGGTTCCCGGCTACTGTCAACCACTTGGAAGGGGATCTATGTAGGAGATCCTGGATAGAGAGGGAAAACAATGTGGAACAAAACTCAAAATCATTTGAAGAGAAATAAAAAGGGGGGACCAAGTTTGCCGGTCTGATAGAGTCTGGTGGAACCACTGAGACTATGGCCCCTCACTGCCCTTCAGATCTGGAAATGAACCCACACCTGTGGCTTCCAACCAAACAAAAGACAGGCATATGAGTTAAACATTTACCTGAGGTAGATACACTCCTTGGAGAGAACCAACATGGGAGAAAGAAGGACTGCTTATGCACAGGGAGACAGCTCAGGGGGCAGGAGTGCATGGAGGGATGGACACAGGGAAGAGGTAACTATTGGGAGGAAGTGGGAGGGGAGCTGTTGTTGCATTGTGGTAAATTGTGGTCAATGTCATGAGACAAAGTGTATGTGAACTGCTGTATGGAAAGTGAATTTGCTCTGTAAATTTTCACCCAAATCACAATAAAAAAATAAAAAATAAAAAGATATCAGAGAACATGGGAGAAAAAAAAAAAAAGAATTATGGACATAGTAGTTTGGAACAGATAAATCTCGCTTTCTCAATTAAGAATTCCAGAAGATGAAAAAGTATGACTTCTAAAGTTACCCAAATCTGTCCACTTTAAAAGCATGTATAAAATATTATTTTGAAGAAGTTTAAGAGTTATAAACAATTTTTCTTGGTTTGTGGGTTAAATGTAAGGTATCCTACCTTTTGACGTTTAAAGTCATTATACTTATCATTGGTCTGCTTTTTGTTCCACCTGGTGGGTGAAAAATCTTATCACTTTTGCTAGGAACCTCTCTTGGCAACTTAACCACATAAGGGTCAACAGAATGTGAAGGGTAAGGCTCAAATGTTCCTGCCTTCATTCCACCAGCCTACAAATAAAAATGAAACAATTTAATGTGGCTTTGTAAAATGCTTCTACAAACTTACATTTTTAAAAAGTTAATTTACATTTTTGTGGTTTTTTATGCAGTTGGTTTTACATTTAGAGAAAGTTATCTATACTGTTTAATTCAAATACCAGGAAAGGGACTCCCTACCACCTATACTGTGGGGTTATGACACCGTAATTTTGGAAGTTTTCTATTAAAATACAGACATGTATAGAAAAATAGTATTCTAAACTTTTGCCAAACATTAATTTTTTTGTGACAATTTATCAGATCATGCTACCTTATAGGTAGTGGGTGGGCTTATTACAGACTGAATGAAATACAGAGGGAAAGGAGTTTGGTAGGAAAAGAGTTAAGTCTCAGAATCAGAGGATGGATATGAGACCAAGGGCGAGCTTTGTCAAACACAATGGCTGGGGTAACATGAGTTTACTAGATGTCAGTTAATGATGGGAAAAACACTTAAAACGAAAAAAAAAAAAAAAAGGATTAGCACATAAAAAATGAAAGTGAGAGGAAAATGTGATCTTATACACTAGTAAGAGAAGTCAAAATATTTTACAACCTATACACACAAAAGACAAATATTTGCCTTGACTTTTTAAACTGATTTGACAGAATTTTTATCTTCATATTATATATCAACTCACTGCCGTTGAGTCAGATTTGACTCATAGCAACCCCTCCTTGGGTTTCCAAAGTGATAGCACTACGGAAGTAGATTGCCCAATCTTCCTTCTGAGGAGTGGCTGGTGATTGCCAGCCTTCTGGGTAGCAGTCAAATGCCTTAGGCAATATGCCACAAGAGTTCCTATATATTTGCCAAGAAAAGTCTATAAAATCGTAATAACCCATTGAATTATGAATTATAATAATTCTTTCTCTTGTTGTTGTTGTTGTTGTTGTTATGTGCCGTCGAGTCGGCCCCGACTCATAGCGACCCCTCCTTGGGTTTCCGAGGCAGTATCACTACGGAAGTAGGATTGCCCAACCTTCCTTCGAGGAGTGGCTGGTGGGTTTGAACCGCCAGCCTTCTGGTTAGCAGTCAAGTGCTTTAGCCACTATGCTACCAGAGCTCCCTCTTTCTCTTGTGTCTAAGTCAAATGTACATAAATATTTAATTCATTTGAAAGCTATGGTTCTAATTTTCCAAGTTTTCCGGATTGAAGGGGCATGGATTATTTTGAAGAACATCAAAAAAAGAAAACTTAATAAATGTAAAAGCAAAAACATCAGCCAAAAGTAGAAAAAATATACATGGCAAATAAACCCACCAGATGATGCTTTAAAAACAGATAAGTGGATATTAGAATTAAGAATGCCAAAGGAGTGGGGGAACCCATATCTACAGAGAATATCAACATAAATATAAAACAGTATTTTTGTAAACCTCTATGTTAATAAACTTGAAAACCTGAATGTAATGAATGACTTTTTTAAGAAAATATAAATGATCAAAATTGATTTTTTAAAAAAGATAGAAAACTTAAACAGAATATAATGCCAGAAACTGAGAAAGTTGACAGAGCTACCCCCAAATTAGAGCTAAATTCAGAATACTGCCTATGAGAATTCATTCAAACTTTCATAGAACAGATAATTCTGGTGGTATTTTAACTGTTACAGAACATACGAAAAGAAGGAAAGCACTCCAATTCTTTTAAAATGCCAGCATCTACTTATATCAAGATAAGATATGTGCCCCCCAAAAAAGAGTATGACAGCAATCACACTTAAAATTATTGATGCAGAAATACTTAAATATTAAATAAAATACAATATTGCATGTAAAGAGGAAGGCAACATGGCCAAAATGGGGTTCATTTTAGGAAATCGATTATTGTTACGCCCCCTATAACAAGTCAAAGAGAGGGGGGGAAATGGTATTCTAAATAAATTCTACAAAGATAGTTGATAAAATTTACATTCATTCCTGATTAAAAACAAACAAACAAAACCCTTTATATTTATTCCTATTTTTGGCACTTATAAAGGATGAAGACTAGAAGTGACCCCCTTAAAATCAAAATTAAGACAAGGATGGCCACTATGGTCACTCTTGTTGAGACTTATTTTGGAATTGCTAGCCTAAGAAATAAGACTTGACATAAAAGAGGTAAATGTTGGAAAGGAAGGAGTAAAATTATTTGCAGATACTATAATCATATGTCTGAAAACAAAGAGAATCAACCATTATTACCTTTTTTAAAAAAAGTTTAATAAAGTGGTCAAATATTTAAGAAAAAAAGCACAAATGTTTCTATATAAACAGATACTATGAAGAGATGTAAAAGATTTTTATAAATTGTTTAATTCCTAGATCAGAAGATTCAAATAAAAAATGTTAATTCATCAAAAAATCTAAAGATTTCACTTTATTGCAAAATGCCAAGGATTTTTTTTTTTAATTTTATAAAATAATTTTGAAGTTCTGGAAAATATATATACATTAATGAATAGCTAATATAGCTTTTTGAAAGAGTAACAAGAAGAGATAAGACCACCAATAGTAAAATGTAATAGTAATTAAAAGCAGTTTGGCACTGGTAGAAATAAACAGATGAATCAAATATAATGGAAATTCAGAACTTTTACCCTAAAAAGTTGAATTTTTGATAAATGTGGTATTTGAAAGCAATAGTGTTAAAAATTTTTTTCATCAGTGAAATTAGAAATAATCAGCTTTTTAAAAAATCAGTTAAATCTAATCCACATACAACAAACTGCATCCATGTAAACTATATAAATCTATGAGCTTTTCAGATGTATTTACCCTTAAAACCACTACCACCATCAAGATACAGAAGATTTCCATTCTCCCCAAAAGTTTCCTTATTGCTCAAAAACTGGATTTTGAAAAAGGTTAAAAATTAAGCAGCATCCTTCCCTCATTCTCTACCTTAAAATACATTTTAGATGAAGATCTAATTGCAAAATGGTAAAATTAATAGAAGAAATCAAGAATGCGCATTTTCATAATACTGGTGGTAGGGAAAGCCTTTCTGAGAATGACATAAAACTTCACAGAAAGTACTGATAAATCTGACTACATCAACTGTTTAAATTTCTGATAGCACAAAATACCAAAATCTAAGTCAAAGATTCAACAGCCTAGTAAAAATTATTTTCAACACAAGCAACTAACATTATTCTTTATATACGAAACCACTAAGAGTTTGTCATATATGGGGGCTTGCATGTTGCTGTGATGCTGGAAGCTATGCCACCAATATTTCAAATACCAGCAGAGTAACCCATGGTGGGCAGGTGTCAGTGGAGCTTCCAAACTAAGCCAGACTGAAAGGAGTGGGGCCATCTGCTTCTGAATTTTAGCTAATGAAAATCTTACAGATCACAAAAGAACATCATCTGACTTGCTTTCTTTGGACACGTTTTCAAATGGATCAATCACTAGACAAGGATATCATGTTTGGTGAAGTAGAGGACCAGTTAGGTAAGGGAGACCCTTAGATGGATTGGCACGGTGGGCATAGCAACGGGCTCAAACATGACGGCAATCATGAGGATGTTACAGGACTGGGCAACATTTCATTGTACATAAGATCTCCATGAGTCAGAGTAAACTCCACAGCAGTTATCTATCTATGCAATATATACAAAGATCTTACAAGTCAATAAGAAAAAGACAAATATTCTAATAGAAAATCCACAGGGAAAAAGAATAGGCAATTCACAGGAGGAGAAGGAAATATAAACTAAGGTTTATAAACACAAGCCAACTTTTATTATTCTACACACTTACAAACATCTGCAGAAGGGAGACAGTGAATTGTATAACCATTTCAAAAACTAAAAAGGTGTCTTTTTATGGTTTGGGGAAAAAACTACACAGTTTTACACAAGCACTCCAAGACTTCATTGTAAATTCAAAATATTTTAAGCAACGAACAGTTAATTCATTGCAAGAGCTTCATTATTCCTTAGACTAGCCACGCTTGTGACTTTACATTATTTTGTAAAAACAGGTTTCATGTCTTGGCATTCACACAAAGTTTTATTATTTACATCAGTAATAAAATAATGTGACAAGTGTCAGTATTTCTTTAAAATACTTAATTGTTTTCATTCCAAAAATTTTAACTTACCTTTTTACCAGGAGAAGAGGGCTTAAAAGGAGCTACAAGTGATGCTTGCTTCTCTGTTTTTTTAATTGGTGGTAAAGGTTTATTGAGAAAATAAGGATTACTGTCAAAATATTCCCTTGGGTAAGAATTTGACTTGAAAGGTGATCCTTTAAGTAAATGATGGTGTTCTTCATTCTCTTTCTGTAATTAAAGAGTTGGGAATGATCTGGCATAAATTATTCAAAGTGGAAGAAAAGTATATTAGACCAAATTTTAATATACGCATCTAGATTCTTTAATATATACTGCTGAGGAACCCTGGTGGTGTAGTGCCTAAGGCATTTGACTGCTAATTTGGCTGGCAGTTCAAACCCACCAGGCACTCCTCAGTAGGAAGATTGGGCTTACTTTTTTTTCAGAGCTATTTACTTCCATGGAGATACTGCCTCGGAAAACCAAGGAGGGATCACTATGAGTCAGAAACAACTCAACAGCAGTGAGTGAGTTGAGTTCACTTTTAAATTTTAAATTTTTCAAATTTTGTTTATGTGAAGAAAATATATGCCTACTTATCCTGAATGAGCACAACTATGATTATTCATTTAGGATATTAATTTATTTGAAGTATAGAGATCTATTCATCTGAACAACAACAAAAAAATCTATCTTAATATATCTGGGCAATATGGTATATCAGGAAAAAGACTGGTTTCTAATTCAAACCCTAGTTCCTGCCTGTTTTTCACCATTTCTTAGTGGCTATGGCGTAGTCCCTAAGGCATTTGACTGCTAACCAGAAGGTTGGGATTTCAAACCCACCACCCACTCCTCGGAAGGAAGGTTGGGCAATCTATTTCCATAGTGATACCACCTCGGAAACCCAAGGAGGGGTTGCTAGGAGTGGGATCCGACTTGATGGCAATGAGTTGAATACTTCCTTAGAGATAGCACCTTGGAAACCCAAAGAGGGGTTTCTATGAGCTGAATGTACTCAACGGCAGTGAGTATGGTTTTTTGGTATGGGAAAGTTAGATACACGTTCAGTGTCACATTTTAATCTGTAAATGAGGATGATAATAGGTTGTGAAGATTAAATGAAATTGTATATTTGAAGCACACGGTCCAAAAACCCAGTGCCAGCGAGTGGATTCTGACTCATAGCGACACTACAGGGCAAAGTAGAACTGCCCCATAGGGTTTCCAAGGCTTCTCTGTGGAAGCCAACTGCTTTGTCTTTCTCCCACTGAGTGAATGGTACTTTCAAGCTGCAGACTTTTTGATTAGCAGCCAAATATTTTAACCACTATACCACAAGAGCTGGTAGATCAATAAATGTCAGTTTTTACTTCTAACACTAAGGGATTCTTAACTTTTTCTTTTTTTTTTTTAACTCAATGAGAATTTTATTTTCAGTATAAGATTGATTCAAGAGGGCAGCAAAGTGGTTTACACAGCATACCATTCAGAAATCTTACTCAAAACATTTGGATACTTGATTTTTACATTAGAATTTTACTAGCTATCTAAGGCTCAAGAGTGGCTGGTGGGTTTGAACCACAAGCCTTCTGGTTAGCAGTCAAATGCTTTCACACTATGCCACCAGAGCTCCTTTTTGTTTGTTTTGTAAAGGCTCAAGAAGGAGCCCTGGTGGTGCAGTGGCTAAGCTCTCTCTGATAACCAAAAAGTCCACAGTTTGAATGCACCAGGTGATACAGGAGAAAAGACCTGTTTGGTACCAAAAGGCAGTTTGCTATCATATAGATTACAGTCTTGGAAAACCTATGGGGCCATTTAGAATAATAATCAACTGGAGGACACACAACAAGCAGGATCAGGCAGGGGAACTATAGCTTCTGCTATAGTTAATAACTTGTCCAGGAAAGGCTGAGATGATCTATAGCAAGAAGTGGAAATCTAAAATCAGAGTGGTCAACATTGTTATTGTTGTTAGATGCCATTGAGTCGTCTCCAACTCATAGCGACTGTATATACAGCAGAACGAAACACTTCCCAGTCTTATGCCAGCCTCACAATCCTTGCTATACCTGAGCCCATTGTTGCAGCCACTGTGTCATTCCCTCTCATTGAGGGCCTTCCCCCTTTTTGTTAACCCGCCACTTTATCAAGCATGATACCCTTCTCCAGAGAATGGTCCCTTCTGACAAAATGACCAAAGAAGGTCAGATGAAGAGCGTTCCAGCTGCACTTCTTCCAAGACAGATGTTTGTTCTTTTAGCAATCCATGGTACTTTCAGTATTTGCTGACACCAGAACTCAAAAGCAGCAACTCTTCTTTGGTCTTCCTTATTCATTGTCCAGCTCTCACATGCATATGAGGTGATTGAAAATACCATGGCTTGGGATAGGCGCACCTTTGTCTTCAAGGAGACATCTTCACTCTTCATCACTTGGAAGAGGTCTTTTGCAGCAGATTTGCCCAATGCAATACGTCTTCTGATGTCTTGACTGCTGCTTCCATTGATGTTGATTGTAGAACTAAATAATATGAAGTCTTTGACAACTTCAATCTTTTCTCCATTTATCATGATGCTGCTTATCGGTCCAGTTGTGAGGATTTTTGTTTTCTTTATATTGAGGTGTAATCCATGTTGCAGACTGTAGTCTTCAATCTTCATCAGTAAGTGCTTCAAGTCATCCTCACTTTCAGCAAGCAGAGTTATATTGTTTGCATATCACAGGTTGTTAATGAGTCTTCCTCCAATCCTGATGCCATGTTCTTCTTCATATAGTTCAGCTTCTCAGATTATTGCTCAGCATAGAGATTGAACAAGTACAGTGAAAGGATACAACCCTGATGCACTCCCCTCCTGATTTTAAACCATGCAGTATGACCTCTCTGATTTGAACGACAGCCTCCTGGTCTATGTACACGTTCCTCATGAGTATATTTAAGTGTTCTGCAATTCCCATTCTTCTCAATGTTACCCATAATTTGTTATGACCTACAAATTGAATGCTTTTGCAGCTCTTCCCCCGTTTGTATTTTGAGGAGCTCTGGTAGCATAGTGGCTAAGACACTTGCCTGCTAACCAGACGGCTGGCGGTTCAAACCCACCAGCCACTCCTCGGAAGGAAGGTTGGGCAATCCTACTTCCGTAGTGATACTGCCTCGGAAACCCAAGGAGGGGTCGCTATGAGTCGGGGCCGACTCGACGGCACATAACAACAACAACAACAACAACAACCAACCTGAGGGGCTCATTTTCCCGCACTATATCGGACAATGTTTCAGAGCTATTTATAATGTTTTCCACTAATATATCAGACAGTGTCTCACTGCTATTCATAATGTTTTCACTGGCCAATTCTCTGAGAAGTGGGTGGCCTCTGTCTTCTTCCAAGTCTGTCTTAGCAACCACCACACTACAACCAACTGACAGACAAGCTTGTCTCTCTTAGCTGTTCCAAACCCCTCCTATCACTTCCTAGTCTCCCTCAGCTGCTCCAAACCCACAAACCCAGCTCGCTTCATTCCTGGCCTCACTCAGGTGCTCCAAACATGCCGCACCACCTCGCTTTCTTCCTGGCCTCAACATTACCACAATCCATACACATCAGTCTGCCATTGCCTATATATCACAAATAGATGGAATAAAACAAAATATTTTATAAGTGAATTCTTATTTAAGTGAGTCAAATAAATGTGGAAAAAATTCAGAATAGATTATTTTACCTTATAAGTTAGTTTTGGTTCATCGTAGAAATCAGCAGAGTGTGAAGGCTGTTTACCTATGGTAACATTTGCATAGCTGAGGAAGGAAAATCAGTAATGGTGACTTCACAGTTTAGGAACTTAGAACTTTATTTTTTAAGTTCAAAGCAAATTGTATGAAAATATCTTACCCATATCCAGTTCCTTTCTTTCCTGGGCTTGTGTATAAATTCTTTCCAGGTGCTCGATACCTTTCTCTGGGTTTTAACTGTGCGCTGAAGAATGGTACTGGGCCACCTATGGTTCCATAGTAGCTTCCAAATCCACACCTTAAATACCATTTTGTTTTTGTTGTTTTTTAAATAATTTTAAAAGAAGAAAAAGGAGCAGAATATATGCAATGAAATGAACTTGCCTGACATTGGTAAAAGACAAACAATTTTATTAGTTTTTCAACTTATTTTTATTCTCCCCATTTTCTGAAGTCACAAATTTTGAGATAAGTTTTTATTTTTATGCTTATTTTAGATGTACCACATAAAGAAAGTTTAATGATTATTTAGGAAGTTAGAATAGTTTCCATCAATTCAGTTAACTATAACAATAAATATAACCTTTTTTTAGAATTTTTAGGCATTTTATGGTAGGTTAGATAATAAATGGCTCTTTTCTTCTGATCATTCAGTCACTACAAACTACACTTCCAAAACATATTATAAAGTATTGTTTCTACTGCTGATGTCAAAGTAGATCTCGTGGAATTTTATTGTAAATTTTCTTCTTTTTATTTCTTACTGAAAAGAAGCTAACCAAATGTTATCTTTTAATTTTAATGTAAAATTTTCATGGCCCATAGTATATATGTAATCATTAAACTATCATTCAATATTTTAACAAATGTTTTCTTTAAAATTTTCACAGTAAAAAGACAACTAATGTTAGTTATAATCTCTAATTTCTGTTTTTAACATTGAAGTTCATTATCCTTAATAAACAGAAAATGGTTTATAAGATAAAAGAAGCATTATTATAATCAAAACTTGATGTTGTTCATACATTTGAGTGAAAAATTTCAAAATATGGAAAGACAACAATATTGATTTATTACCCTAGCCTGCAAATAAAGTTTCCACTAAGAGAGGATATTCATTTGCATTAATTTATATTTATGAACATGTCACAAAATTCTAAAATACAGTAATACAGCAATGATGTTGAGGAGGAAAGGATAATTATGCATGAACATAATTTAACCAGAATGTGATTTAATGTAAGTATTAGAAATTATTATACTTAGAATTTGTTAAATGCCCATAATTTGGTGTTAAACAAGTATCTTTATGAGGGCTTTTTGTTTATACCACTAATCTCTTCTTTTGGAAACACTCTGTATTTCATCAAATTACAAATGTTTCCACATATATTGACCTTTGAAAATATGGGAAAAGCTAGTCTAATAAAAGTATTACAATCTCATAGCTGGGAGCTCTGGTGGCATAGTGCCTAAAGCATTTGACTACTAAGCAGAAGGCTGATGGTTCAAACCCACCAGCCACAACTCTGAAGGAAGGTTGGGCAATCTACTTCCGTAGTGATACTGCTTCAGAAGGATCGCTATGAGTCAGGTCCGACTCGATGGCATTGTGTTTGGTTTTGTTTTTTATTTTTTTGGTTTATTTCTTAGCTATCAAATGAACATAAGCATATTATAAACTAGTGTATCAAGTCAGTAATTCTCAATTATTGCCACTAGAGGTCAAGATTCATCATGGGCCTGCAGAAAGGTTGAAAAATAAAGAGTTATTTAAAGGCTAAAATACATATATTACATTTTTTAAAAAAAGAGGTAGTGACAACAAAAAAGAAATACATGTTTGAATTTATATCTAGGGAGAACATGAAGCAGCCCAAGAAACAATAATAACAATAATAAATAATTCAAATGCTTTTGAAGTGTGAAAAAAGATGAAATTCTGATGACAACAGAAAAAAGGAAATTACGCACTCTTAGTGAAAACTTAGTAATATTGATTAATGGAGAATACTGCCTGTGAGAATTAGAATGAAGCCTGAATTATAGAAATGTAGTTTTATTAATCTCAAGAGAATATAGCAAATAAGCACAAAGTTAGTCTTCAATAAATCTTCATCTACTATAAATTCTAAATTGAGAAAGTCAAAGGTATTGAATGTGAATAAAGTTCACCTATAATTTATATAATTTCATCTACATAATCTATATAACAGATTACATAGTCTTATTTGTTAAGATAATGATTTAAAGGTAAGAAAAGAAACTTCACATTGAAAATTATCCTGACTAAAATATCATTAAACCCCAAGAATAATTTCACAATTCAAAAATAATTTATCTTATATTTTAGTCTTCTTTTTTTTGTCTTACAGTCAATTTCATCAGAAATTAATATTGCCACTCCTGCTCTCTTACAGTTGCCATTTGGTTGATAAATCTTTTCCAACCTTTTTTAGTCTATTTTTGTCTTTGTCTCTAAGATGTGTCTCTTGTAGACAGCATATTGATGGGTTTTGTTTTCTTATCCAATCTGCAACTCTCCGTCTCTTGAGTGGTGCATTTAATCCATTAACATTTAGTGTAATGATCGACAAGTATGAATTGGTTGCTGTCATTCTGTTATGTGTTTTTTCTTGGTGTCCCTGGTTTCTTTGTTCCATATTATTTTCTGTGCTGAGTTCATTATGTTTATGAATCGTGTTATCATTTCCTTTGTTGCTGTTGTTTTAGTATTTGCTGAATATTTGTGCTTGTGCTCTTTTTTATTGTGATGTGAAGGTTTATCATTTTTCTTTGAGGTTACCCTGTGATTTATAATTTTCTTCCTGACTTTAGAACAGTCCCTTCTATCATGCAACACTCTTGACTTCCTCACTATTTAGAAGTTTTGTAACTACATAATATTTTCCCTCTTTTTGTTTGTAGTTGTCCTCATTTCTTAATTGATGTCTCTGGTTCCCTGTTTACAATCTTGTAAGCTCATTTTACTTTGGCTATGTCCATAGCTATGGTTTCTGGGTTATGTCATCTTGTGTATTAATGGTCAGTTGTTATTTGCTATTTTTGGTTCTCTGTTCAAAGGACTCCTTTCAGTATCTCTTATAAGGTTAGTCTGGTTTTAACAAATTCCCTTAATTTCTGCTTATCTGGAAATCTCCTAATTTCACCATCATATTTGAGAGACAATTTTTCCGGGTATATAATTCTTGGTTGAAAATTTTTCTCTTTCAGGGTTTTATACATACCATCCCATTGCCCTCCTCCTTGCATGGTTTCTGCTGAGAAATCAGAGCTTATTCTTATTGGTTGTCCTACGTAAATAACTTTTTGTTTTTCCCATACTGATTTCAGGATTCTTTCTTTGTCTTTGGTTATGATGAGTTTTATAATGATATGTCTTGGTGATTTTCTTTTGATATCTATCCTGTTTGGGGTTCATTGGATTTCCTGAATGAATATATTGTCATATTTCATCGTATCAAGGAAGTTCTCTTCCAACAAATCTTGGACAATTTTCTCAGTGGTTTTATTTTTCTCTTCCTGTTCTGGAATTCCATTGACATGTAGGTTATTCCTTTTGATGGTATCCCAAATGAACCTTAGCCTTTCTCCATTTTGTTTTGATCTTTTTTCTGATTGATCCCTTTCCAAAGAAGTATTCAGGTGTTTGTCTTGAATCTCATTAATTCTGTCTTCTATTGATTCACTTCTACTCTTTTGCCCTGTCAATGTGTTATCTATTTCTGAAAATTTAGTATTAATCTTCTGGATTTCTATCTGTAGATTTAGAATCATTTCTAATTTTTCATTTATTTTGTCATTTTGTTCTTGTATTTTCTTCCAAAACTCTTCTAGTGTTTTGTTGTGTTTTCCTTAATTTTGTCTGTGTTTTTCTTGATCTTTCTCTCAATCCTTTGAAGACACCCAAATATAATTCTTTTGAATTTCTTATCAGGGAATCCAATGCTGCTTCTTCCTCATGGATATGTTCTGGGTCTGTATCCTGCTCCCTTGTTTCTACCACTTTATCTTGCTTCTTTGTGTGGACTGTGATGGGCTTTTGTCTCCAAGACATTGTGATGTTGCTGCATTTAGATCTCTGTTAACCATTTGTGAAGAGCAGCTAAGGGTGAGTCAGGCTCTTCTTGGTGGTTGTTTATCATTGGCCCATTGGTAGAGAAGGAAGCGGTGGCTCTCACTCAGTAAGTGAAGCTGCAGGAGGTGTAGGTATAGTTGTGTCATATGGGGACTGTTGCTGTCTCCCACTCAGTTAGACAAAAATAACAACTGAATAACCATCAAAAAAGTAAAGGAAATGGACAAAAAATAAACCATGTAATCACACAGGAACAATAACCAAAAAAAGGGGGAAAAAAACATGGTATCTTGGAAGAGGGCAATAAGAGAAAAAAAGTAGAGTAGAAGAATAATGAAGAAAAAAATGGGAAAAACACAAAAAGTAAAACAAAGAATGGAGTTAATCACAAGAAAGAAAGAAAACTGGAACCAGGAACAGGGAATAGAGAAAAAGCTGAAAACTAGAACCTGGGAAGGGAAGAATAAAGAATAATAATAATAAGGACAATGATAATAATAATAATAATTTTTAAACAAACTAAAAAAAAAGAGAAAGAAAAAAATCAGGGCAGGGCACCCAGGCTCTGTCCTAGCACACAGACTGGTATGGAATTCCTACTGGTCTAGAAAGTGAGTGGGAGTGAGTGATGGCCACACTACCATTCACCAAAAGGGTGTAGGTATGAGTAACAAGGGGAATGTCGCACCTTTCCAGTCGTTGGTATCTGCAATGTCCTTGTGGTTCCCGGCAAGTGGAGCCCGTTCTTAAGTCCCTGCAACCTGGGAGAATGCTGTCATGTTAAATATCCAAAATTGTCAAACCGCTTGTAAACATTCAAAATGGCTGCGCACAGTGTCCTTGTGGTTCCCAGCAAGTGGAGCCTGTTCTTAAGTCCCTGCAATCTGGGAGAATGCTGTCATGTTAAATAACCAAAATGGTCAAACCTCTCATAAATATTCAAAATGGCTGTGCCCTCCAGACAGGCAAAAGTCCACAGCTCAGCCCACCTTCCTCTTCCCTGCTTCCCCTTCATGAGCCACCAGAGTAGTCCTTATCTAGCAGAGCTGATTTTTAGGTTAATTCTTAGGTCCTAACACCACTTGGCAAATATCCAAGCTGTCTGTGCTGTCAGGTTCACTGCCAGACTGAAGCTCCATATGTCTCCTTTTTTGGTGTTTTCATGCAAATTCTTCTACTAGTTGGAGTTTAGTCCACTT